CTTTTTCCTTAATTTTAGCTGTTTAAAATCCACCTGCCATTTTATTTTAAATGTGGCATGAATTAAGAATTTGATCTGTTTGGCCGGGCACGGCGGCTCAAGCCTGTAATCCCAGCACTGTGGGAGGCCGAGGCGGGTGGATCACGAGGTCAAGAGATCGAGACCATCCTGGTCAACATGGTGAAACCCTGTCTCTACTAAAAATACAAAACATTAGCTGGGCATGGTGGCGTGTGCCTGTAATCCCAGCGACTCAGGAGGCTGGGGCAGGAGAATTGCCTGAACCCAGGAGGCGGAGGTTGCGGTGAGCCGAGATCGCGCCATTGCACTCCAGCCTGGGTAACAAGAGCGAAACTCTGTCTCAAAAAAAAAAAAAAATTTGATCTGTTTTTCCCCTCAATGATAGAAGTTGTCCCAGCAAAGGGATGGACAGTTGTCCTAACATCAGTTGGTGAATAATCAGTTCTCCAATTATTTGAAATGTCACATTGATTATATACTCTTCCTCATATATGCATTGATCCATTTCTGGACTCTCTGTTCTGTTGATCAATTTGGTCATTTATTAGTGCCAACTTTAGATAGAGTATTCTGATATCGGCTAGGCACAATGACTCAAGCCTATAATCCCAGCACTTTGGGAGGCTGAGGTGGGCAGATCACCTGAGGTCGGGAGTTCAAGACCAGCCTGACCAACAGGGAGAAACCCCATCTCAACTAAAAATACAAAATTAGCTAGGCATGGTGGCAGGCACCTGTAATCCCAGCTACTCAGGGGACTGAAGCAGGAGAATCACTTGAACCTAGGAGGTGGAGGTTGTGGTGAACTGAGATCACGTCATTACACATCAGCCTGGACAAGGTTGTGGTGAGCTAGATCACACCATTACACGTCAGCCTGGGCAACATGAGCAAAACTTCATCTCAAAAAAAGAGAATATTCTGACATCTGGCTGGGCACAATGACTCCATGCCTGTAATCCCAGCACTTTGGGAGGCTGAGACCGCCAAATCACTTGAGGCCAGGAGTTTGAAACCAGCCTGGCCAACATGGTGAAACCCTGTCGCTACTAAAAATACAAAAACTAGCCTGGTGTAGTGGTATGTGCCTGTAATTCCAGCTACTCCAGAAGCTGAGGCACAAGAAATGCTTGAACCCAGGAGGCAGAGGTGCAATGAGCTGAATTGTGCTACTGCACTCCAGCCTGGGTGACAGAGTAAGACTCTGTCTCAAAAAAAAAAAAAAAAAAAAAGAATATTCTAATACCTGTAGGACAACTAATCACCTCCTTTTTCAACATCTTGGCTATACTTATCCATTTTCTCTTCCAGATAAATGCTGGAATCAACCTGTCAAGAAAAAAAGAGAATCCAGTTGGAATTTTGATTAAAGTTATAATAAATTTGTAGATTAATTTGAGACCAATTGAGTTGACTTCTCATCTAGAGACATGGTATGTTTTTACATTTATTTAGGCCTTTTGTTTTTCTTTAGCAAAGTTTCCTGGTTTTTCTCATATTAATTTTACACATTTCTTGCTAAGTAAATTAATCAACTCACTTAACAATTCTTTGTCCTAGGCTCACAGTATGCAGCAGTGAACAAGACAAGTTCCTTGTTCTCATGGAGCCTATATTCTAATTGGGACAAATAAACAAACAAAAAAGATCAGCTAATGAGAAGTCCTCTGCAGAGAATTAAAATAAGGTTATGTGATAGAGAGATATTGGGTGGCTACTTTAGATTGGATGGTTAGGAAAGTCCCTTAATATTTCAATTGAGATCTGAGTAGCAAGAAGAATTCAGCTTTGTAAAGCTGCTGGGAGTGGGGATAGCATTCCAAGAAGAGAGAACTGCTAATGAAAAAAAATCACTAAGTCTCCTAATAGTTTGGTATTTTCTGTTCAAGGAACAGAAAAAAGGCTAGTGTGGCTAGAGGTTAGTGGTGAAGGGGAAAGTGTTATGAAAAAAGGTCAGACAAACATTTAGGGGCGAAACAGATGATTCAGGCCTTCATAAGGAGTTTGCATATCATTTTATTTTTTTGAGACAAAGTCTTTCTTGCCCAGGCTTCAGTGCAGTGGCATGATCTCAGCTCACTGCAGCTTCTGCCTCTGGGTTTGGGTGATTCTCCTGCCTCAGCCTCCCCCAAGTAGCTGGAACTTCAGGTGTGTCACAAGGCCTGGCTAATTTTTGCATTTTTAGTAGAGACAGGGTTTTGCCATGTTAGCCAGCTGGTCTCCAACTCTTGGCCGTAAGTGATCTGCCCACCTTGGCCTCCCAAAGTGCTGGAATTACAGGTGTAAGCCACCATGCCTGGCCCATATTATTTTAAATGTGATGGAAGCCATGAATGTATTGAGTAAAAGAATGACTTGATCTGATTTATGGTTTTTGAAAGATTGATACAGTAGCTGGAGGAAAAAGGATCACAGAGGGCCAAGAGTGAAAGAAAGATTTGTGAGGAGGCTAGTGTAGTGGTTCAGGTAAGAGGCAATAGCGGCCAGGTATGGTGGTGGCTCATGCCTGTAGTCCCAGCTACTAGGGAGGCCAAGGCATGAGAATTCCTTGATCCCAGGAGGCGGAGGTTGCAGTTAGCTGAAATCATGCCACTGCACTCCAGCCTGGGGGATGGAGGGAGACTCTGTCTCAAAAAAAAAAAAAAAAAGAGAGAGAGAAAGAGAGAAACCATAACACGTTTACACAAATGGAAATGACCAAGAGGAGAAATTAGTCTGGGTGTGGTGGCACATGCCTTAATCCCAGCTACTTTGGGGGATAAAGTTGGAGAAATTACTTGAGGTCAGCAGTTTGGGGCTGCAGTGAGCTATAACTGAACCTGTGAATAATCACTGCACTCCAGCCTGGGCATCATAGCAAGTCAGTGTCTCTAAAATTTAAAAAGAGAGAGAAAGGAGAGATTGATGAGGCAGGAGCAAGGAGGATCATTGTTGGAGCAGTAAAGCTCTTGAAAAGGAGAGAGTATGGAAGGTACGGACAATATCTTGAGAAATAAAGTGGACGAGAAGTGACATGAATAGTGGAAGAAAGGGAGACAAGTGGGCTATGAAAAATGACAGGGAAGATACCAGGGATCAGTAGGTGACAGCATCTCGGAGTAGTAGCAGTCTGCATGAACTTTAAAAGAACTTGGGTTTCCGAAGGAATAAGGAAGAGAAGTGGTTTGGAGGTAATATGAGGAGTGGGCCATAAGATAAGAATACCTGTGAGAGGAAAACAACCTTCTGTAGTTGAAAAGTTACAAGGGAGGTAGTTTTGCCAAGTGTTAAACCGGGTTTCAGTTGGAATGGGAAGTTGATGGGAACATTTACAGAAGAGGCTAAGAATAAAAGGGAAGTGGCTGATGGCAGATGTTGAAATCAAAAGTGTGAAGTTAAATGGTTAGGATGTTTGAAGAGTGGGATATGGAATCAGAGTAGCTGAAGCAGAGAGTAGCATGGAGATACTAGGGCAATAAACGGGTTGCACAGATGCTATTGGTGGTGATTGAGGTGGAGAGGATATAAAGCATGATGGAATTATCTTTTGGTAATCTCCTGGGTCAAAGGCGGTGAACCGTGAGAGGAATAATATAGAGCTACACAAACCGTTCTTGTTGCAGGTCTTGTGGTATGGAGGCTGCAGCTAATCACCCATTTACGGTTTTTGTATTCCTCATTATAAAATACGGTCTGTAGGTTTCCTTTTAATGCTCACAATGCTTCGGTTTTATTAACAGGGTTATGATAATCTCTTCAAACAGGTTGTGATTTTTTTTTCAAGCGTTTCTATGCCCTGGAACCATCTGGTCTAGTGCTTTTTGGGGCAATGGATATCTTCGATTATATTTATTTTTATTTAGTTGATCTATTCAGATTTTCTACATTTTCTTGAGCGGATTTTGCTTATTTATATTTTTATTGGCATAAAGATGTGTTTCTACTAGAATTTCTTGTGCCAACTCTACGTACATTCTCCCCATTCCCATTTCCATACTGTTTTCAGGCCATTTGAAAATCTCAAAGGTTGTACAGGAAAGTACAAAGGTTGATGAAGTGACCAAAAACGGGAAAACTGAACTTTAAAGTGATTCAACTACAAAACGGATGCTACTAGTATATTCCCCGCTCTGCGGCTTAACTCCGTGGAAATCCGTGCAAAGGTTTTAGCGCTGGGATTGTGACCTACTCGGTGAAGAGAAGGGACGATCACCAAACCGTTAGAGCACTGGCGCTCTTGGCAGTTCTTGTCAGTTATTTTCAAGTGATAACTTGGAGCGATACCGCAAGAATAAAATGCTGTATCCAGAGCTGGTTGGAACGAGCACTGCCTTTAACAAAAGCTGAAAAGATCCGCTAGGAATTACGTAGTTAGAATCCAGCCCTCTCACGTCTCTGATATACCTAGCTATGTGAACAGACTGTACAGCTGACGGTGGAAATTTCCCAGGTGTTTTTTAAACAACAGAATTGGACGACCTCCCTCCTCCATTCCCAGTCGGAAACGTCCCACCCAGATCCAGCTCAACGGTGCCGCACTTGTTCCGGCCAGTTCACAATCACCCTTCAGAAGGGAGGTTTCCCGCCATTTCGCTTAGCAGCAGAGGGTGAACTCTTCTCTCTTCATTTTCCACTCGCTAGGGGCCCGAGCCCACACCACCTTCCCCGCAAAGCGAGCAGCGGGACGCCAAGGCCAGGAGGCCGCATTAAGAACCCCGGACGGAGCCAAAAGGCGACACAGACCAAGCCGCTCGGGAAAGGCTCAGCAACCGCAGACAGCCCTGAGGGCGCAATAGCCCGCGGCGTGGGGCAACTGAACTGTGAGACGCGCGGGCCCCGAGCCAGCTGAGGGAGGAGGGAGCACGGCTGTCGCAGGCGGGAGCGAAGGCGGGTATGAAGGGCGGGCTCGCTCCGCTCGACTCCGGATTGGTCAGACTCAGAGAGCCGAGTGACGTCAGCGGGGGAGAACGCCTGATTTGTGTGGTGGGCGCGGACGGGCGGGGGAAGCTCAGTACGCAGGCGCAGCTCCCTGGCTCCGCTCGCCCCGGCGGTCCGGCCCAGCTCTCGCGGACAAGTCCAGACATCGCGCGCCCCCGGCCTCCGGGACCGCCCCCTCCCACCTCTCGGCGTCGTCGAAGATAAACAATAGTTGGCCGGCGAGCGCCCAGTGTGTCTCCCGCCGCCGGATTCGGCGGGCTGCGTGGGACCGGCGGGATCCCGGCCAGCCGGCCATGGCGGGGCTGTACTCGCTGGGAGTGAGCGTCTTCTCTGACCAGGGCGGGAGGAAGTACATGGAGGACGTTACTCAAATCGTTGTGGAGCCCGAACCGACGGCTGAAGAAAAGCCCTCGCCGCGGCGGTCGCTGTCTCAGCCATTGCCTCCGCGGCCGTCGCCACCCGCTCCACCCGGCGGCGAAGTCTCGGGGAAAGGCCCAGCGGTGGCAGCCCGAGAGACTCGCGACCCTCTACCGGACGCCGGGGCCTCGCTGGCGCCTGGCCGTTGCTGCCGCCGCCGTTCCTCCGTGGCCTTTTTCGCTGTGTGCGACGGGCACGGCGGGCGGGAGGCGGCACAGTTTGCCCGGGAGCACTTGTGGGGTTTCATCAAGAAGCAGAAGGGTTTCACTTCGTCCGAGCCGGCGAAGGTTTGCGCTGCCATTCGCAAAGGCTTTCTCGCTTGTCACCTCGCCATGTGGAAGAAACTGGGTAAGTTCCCTGGCTTGTTTGGCGCCCGCCCCTTTTCTCAGGCAGTTCGGGGCTTTTATGGCAGCAGCCTGGCGTGGGCCCCCAGCAGCGGCACCCGGAGCGAGCGCATCCAAAGTGTACATTGATGGAAGTGACGACTCTAAACGGTCGAATAGCGCTTTGCTGGGTGGAGGTCCTGGCAAACCAAATGGCCTTGGGGAAGATAGGATTGCTGTCTCCCTGCAAGCTCTTCTCGCTTTATTTCCGTTCTCCAAGGATCAATGGGAAGCAGTCCTCTCCCTTCGCTGCTTCACTTTGGTGGCAACCAGCGAAAACGTGTTTGAAACCTGGCGCCAGATTTTGGCCAAAAGATAAATTGATGTTGCTACCTGGGCCAGGCGAAGGAAAAATTGGAGTGTTCCCCTAGAATCTGTCATAATTCTGCTCCTGGACGTCTTGTCCCTCTCGGTTGCCTCCTACCGGTGGTGTCAGTTCTGCAGATTGACCCGGGATAGCTGGGGTTGGCTGGTGGAGTAAAGCGTGAGCTAATTTAGAAGGGCTGAAGTGTAATCGTCTGGCAATTGAAAGTTTTGGAAGGAATTCCGTTGTAATGATGGTGAGATATTTTTAGGATCATAAACGTGTACTGCTTATGAAAAATAAAAGCGCGGAACGTGTTGTTACCTCTTAAAGTGGCCCCGTGTTAAGGGTGTGCGTTAAATTCTGCTTGAGCTTTCTTTTTGGAAATTGCCTTAGGTGATTGCTTTCAGATAGTTCTCAACAGTCCCTACTTTAAAAGTACTTATAAATTGTAAATGCCTGTCAAAATAGGAAAATGCAAGGAATTACTGAATACTGGGAGGAAATAAAGGCCTTAAATGTCTAAAAATTTCGGTGTAGTTGTAGTTTCATCTGAGTTTTAAATGTTTGTAAAGCGGGCAGGATTTCTGTACTCAGCAGTTAGAGAATCATCTTACAGCTTTATAATTATTTATCTATTGCAGTGAATAAATAGCATGCATCTTTTTAGAGCAAAGAAGACAATACTCTCCAACGGTGGGAAAAAACCTTTTTGTTTATGGCAGCATAATAAAGTTGCTTTATTTCAGCAGAGGAATGGAGACATAGAGAAAAAGAGTTAAAGATTTAGCAAATACAGAACATTTTTAGAAAGGTATTGTCATAGAGTTGCAGATTAGCCGGTTTCAAAGAATGTTTTCCATTTGCTTGGCTCTCTGCCAAGAATTAGTTGATTGACTGAAAGATCAGCCACTAGGCTTGTTGGAGGCGTTTCCCATTCAGTCCCAGGGGCCCCTCTTTATGGATGTATTTTGTTTTTGTGTAGGCACCATAGAGCTGAAAGCACTGTAGTATATTGTAGAAATATGTCATATCATTGACTGCAGGGCAACGAGAAGTCGACAGCAGGACAAGAGAGGAAGATTAGACACAAAGAACTATGTAGAGTCTTGTTTATTTTACAGTATACTTGGAGCAACATAAATTTGCCATACGTTTGAACTTTATGGATAAAAAAACTTTAAGGCATAAACTCCGTTACATGAGCATTTAATTTAATTTAATTTACTTATTTATTTATTTTCTTTAAAGAGACTGGCCGGGGCGAGGGATGTGTGTGGGCGGTCTCATTTTGTTGCCCAGGCAGTGCAGCAAGCGATCCTGGGCTTAAGCGATCCTCCCGCCTCGGCCTCTGAAAGTGCTGGAATTACAGGGTGAGCCACAGTACTGGACCTGCAGGAGCATTTTTTTAATAAAGCAGGGACCATGTTGTTAAATGCAAATATGGATGGTTTTGTCTTATATACACAGACTTTTCGAATTAAGCTTTCACTCTTATGATGCATAGAACCTTACACTCCAGAAAAATGTTGAAGTTTATTTTGTACCACAGCTAGACCTCAGACTTCGTCCTCAAAACTTGGGGGAAAAAAAGTACAGTAAGCTAATTATTTTGGGAGCCTTGACAAAGGAAATGAGGGTTAAAATTTTTTTTTTTTTTTTTAGTCACAGGGTTGAGAAAGACAAAAAAAATTGTATTTAGTTACAAATTCTTGGATGACTTCACATTTTCTATAAAATAAACTGTAGTTTGTAATCTGCAGGCCAACCCCTTTCCTGTACAAATTCAGCCTCTCTGGTAAATATCTGTTAACGCGAATTTCCATTACATTACTCACCTTTTTTCAGGGAACATGAAAGTACTCCGTTTCCATTTTCTTGGCTTCTGGTTCTCACCCTGCCCCCAACAAGGAAAATTCAAACAAAAATATATCCATCATGTAGATTCCCAGTCAGTATGTTTTCTTCTGTGAAGACTTCTTTCTTTTGGAATTGAGCATCCTTTTTTCTAATTTTGTAGTGCTCATTGGATTGTGGTAGTAGTTCTCAAACTTTTTGCTCACAGAACCCTTCATACTATTAAATTATTGAGGACCCCAAAGAGTTTTTGTTTATGTGGGCTACATCTTCCAATATTTACTATATGAGAAATTTAAACTTAGAAAATTTAAAAAAATTTCTTCAAAAACAAATATGTTTACACACACACGCACACACTCACTAAAGAAAAACCACTTTTTTACCCAAATAAGAAATACTGGTGGGAGGAATGGCATTATTTTACATTTTTGCAAACCTCTTTAAATATCTAGCTTAATGGAAGACAGCTGAATTCTCATACCCACTTCTGCACTCAGTCTGCTATGCTATTTGAAGTGTCTAAAGAAGAAGCAGCCCCGCATGCATATGTAGTAGGAAAAAGGAAAAATATTAGTCTTTTCAGATAATTGTGCATATTCTGCACAAAAGTGGTAGTTTCTTTCTTTCATCTTTTTTTTTTTTTTTTCTAATCAGAGGAACATAGAAGAAAAGTAGTTTCTTAAAGTTAGTTGAATTGGAATTTGAAACCTTAGTAATGAATTTTGTACTCTTACATTAAGATCTATTGTTTTGGTTTGTACTTTGAATCTTCTGTATGTGTGATTTTGTGACATAGTGCATTAGTCATCTGGAAAATAATGCTTCACTCAGTTAAGAACATCTTCTGAATAGCAACACATTTCATTATACAATATCAAAGAAAATCATGTTTGTTAATATCACTGATCTCATCAGAAAAGTCTTTAAATATTGAGTAGCTATCTAGTTCTCTGTTGTAGGTACACATTTTCCAAAATGTATTTTTCAAGCAGCAATTAGAAATGTATTATTGACAACAAACACCGTCAATTTTTCTTGAACTGAAAAGCTCAACCTGTTCATGTTCAAATGCCCAAGTCTTATAATAACACAGTTTATCAGTCTCAAGGAAAAATGATGGTCCATGAAAAATATGGCTAGTTCATCATAGGACTCAGACAATCACAGGTGCTTTTTCTCTTATCAGCCCTAGTATGTAATAAAAGGCTGTTGTATATATTCTCCTATTAGTCATACAGAATATTAAAAACGTGTGCAGCCTGGGGAACATGGTGAGACCCTGTTGCCACAAAAAATAAAAAATTAGCTTGGCATGGTAGCATGTGCCTGTAGTCTCTGCCCCTTGGGAGGCTGAGTTGGAAGAATCACTTGAGCCTGGGAGGTTGGGTTACAGTGAGCCATGATGGAGCCTCTGCATTCAGCCTGGGCAACAGATAAAAAAGTGTGTATTCATGGGTTGAGATTTAATAAAATTAGTTTTTCTTGTGTCATCAAGCATATTCTTTTTTTATTTTTTGAGACAGATTCTCACTGTGTTGCCCAGGCTAGAGTGCAGTGGCATGATTTGGGCTCACCTTCCCGGGTTTAGCCTCCTGAGTAGCTGGGACTACAGGCGTGTGCCGTCATACCCAGCTAATTTTTGTATTTTTTAAGTGGAGACAGGGACAGGGTTTCACCATGTTGGCCAGGCTGGTCTTGAGCTCCTAATCTCAAGTGATCCATCTGCCTTGTCCTCCCACAGGCATGAGCCACCACGCCTGGCCAGGAATATTTGAAACTACAGTACAGCGTAGCTTGCCTTTTCTGGGCTGTAATTAGGTAGCTGTGAAGAATGCAGTGACTAATAGCTCAGTCTGGTGCGACTGCCTTGGCTCCTGCCAAGGCACCAGCAGTCTACCATCAGTACAAATGTCAGCACAGTGAAAAGGACAAATAAACTCTCAGAATTATTATGAAAATAGTTTTGGCCTTGTAGCATTCCTATAAAGATTACACAGACTTCTGGGAGATACTAGTCTGCTATAGTATCTGCCTGTCACCTAAATCTTGAGGTCTTTGGGGCCAGAGATATTGCCTTACTCATAACTAATCCTTTTAGAATTGACCACATAATACCTTGCCCAAAGTAGCTGCTCAACAACTAGTTGAATTTAGTTGAGTTTCTGTTGAGTGTAAATAAATAAATGGACTTTCATTCATTTTTTTAAATTAAAATTTCTCCCTTTAAAAAATCGTGCTAAAATATACATAACATAAGATTTATACCAGGCTCTGTACTGTGGCTCACACCTGTAATCCCAGCACTTTGGGAGGCCGAGGCGGGCAGATCACCTGAGGTCAGGAGTTTGAGACTAACCTGACCAGCATGGAGAAGCCCTGTCTTTACTAATAATACAAAAAAAAAATTAATTGGGCTTGGTGGCACGTGTCTGTAATCCCAGCTACTCAGGAGGCTGAGGCAGGAGAATCACTTGAACCCAGGAGGCGGAGGTTGTTGTGAGCCAAGATCTCGACATTGCACTCCAGCTTGGGTAACAAAAGCAAAACTCCGTCTCAAAAAAAA